AGGGACTTCTAACTCCGTTTTTACTATGAATAGGAAATACATGGTCATTGGATAAATTTTTAACATCCGATGATGTCGATACATTCGAGTTTGTTTTTCGACCTCTGACGAAAAGACCCGAGGTGATGCGATTGACTTTTCTGCAAGTAGATTGATCTACCCCTGAATCTAAATTTAAAGCTACACCTATTCTGAAATCTGTTGTCAAATCATTCATTGTGAACATTTTAGAGAGTGGATATAACTAAATACATATGTTGTAGGAAAGCATTTTCTCCATTGAAGTAAACAGTAGTAGTTTGTGATCATTGATCTTTTTTTCTGAAAGGTGGGTACGTACTATAATTTTTTTTAGAACGAAATATGTAAAACCAACATGTAGGCCTTTGTGAAAAAGAAATCCAAGATTTCGCACAGGGATACGTCTCTGGCACAGGTAATTTCTTTCGTCAAATCGTCTGGAATCTGGTTGAACTGCGTCGATCGTTTGTGATGATTGGACTAGTCCATTAAAATATGGAATAAACCAACAGAGGGGAAACAAATTAGAGAAATCATTTCTTTTGTTTTGCATGTCCAAATTCTGATACATACGATTCATATGTTGTTTTAAGGAATAAGATAAAATTTGTAGACAGAATTTCTGAATCATAAGAAAATGGAGGTTACAATTCAGTGGCGGATCCAGAAATTTTGAAAAGGGGGGGGGGGCGGCCAGTTTGAGGTCAGGATAGGGGCCCACAGCCACACCAAAAAAACATTGATTTATTAAATGTATATATTTTTGGGACATAAAAGGGGGGCCCGGGCCCCCTCTAAATCCGCCAGTGCGAATAACAAGCTATATTTAATTCCATGGAAGTTAGCACCCCCATTCATACAATAGAACAATCCAAGAAAAGGCGCGAAGATCGCTTACTCGTGACATTTGGCGCGAAAAGAGCGATTCACCCCTTTCGTAGAATATAAATGGACTGATCCAGTAGTATAGAAATGCAGAAAAAAGATACACGGACATGTTGAAACGGTGAATCACATGGAATAATCTGTTTCATGCAAACAGAGTAAACAAAGTAAATACTGCATTATTTTGCATCAGTAAAATCATTGTTTCCCTGAAAAATGTTTCTTTTAAAATGCAGGTCAAAGATTTCCAATGTAAATCAGCTTGCACAAAATCTAGCTCTCTGGGTATGATCTATTAGTTTCGGATCAAGCAATTATCAATCCTTTTACAGCCTGACGCCGTGACGTCAGGCAACAAAGACAGAGCGAGAGCTTGGGATAAGATTTAATGAAATTTTGTGCAAACAATCAATAATTGTATGAAATTAATATCAGAAAAAGAAAACACGGTTTAATCACTCTCATAACTGACCCAAATTTATATGTATTTACGATTTTGTAATAGTTTTTTAATTAATACTTTGTTGTATAGTTGTATCACGTCAGATCTTAGTTTGAATTTACAAAACTAAACAATTGCCCTCTCCATTTAAAATAGTAAGAGGTATACAATCATTAACAAACATGTTTGATTTTCTTTTCCAATCCGTTTTTTATTTTTTTGGTCATTTTTTGCGAAGAACTTACTTTAGGAAAGATTCATTTAAAGACTGTGTATACATGTATGTTTGACTGATTCCGCATATGATACATCATGTTTGATGTTACACTGCAGAATTCAAAATTACTTTGATGAAACACATTTTTAACGAATAACCGACTAAAGAAATTTTAGTCGATAGTCGGTATGATCGAACGATAGTCGAGTACTCGAATATTCGTTGACATCCCTATTAAAAACTGGTTGAATGTTCCTACATACTTCCAACTTAAAAGATACTTTTGAATTGTGAATATCAGGGAAACTATTTTACAATAAAGCAAATGCCCGAATGAAGAGACCTTAGAAGGAAATATTGCCCTTGTCAACATTTTTTTAAAGATTGAATAATTGATTAAATATAGAAAATATGCATTTTTAAAATTCTTTAACTTAACAATATTTATCATTACACCAATTGTAAAGCATTCTTCCAAGTGATATTGTTCTATTAGGTATGAAATTAAACTAATTACAGTTTTTGCAAAAATCTATGACATCATAGGAGGGTGGCTTTACCTTAAGGTCAAGATCTAGTAAATAACTTCAGACTAATCTTTTGGTGCTAGATCCATTATGACGTCATAATCAATTTCAACTTTCTTTTTCCCGAACTTTACGGCTTTAGCAGAATTATGTAGAAAAAAGGGTATTTTCATGACATTCAATTTCAAATCATATGAAAAGTAAACCGGATACCTATATTAGATTTGATATTGATTTAAAGAAGAGGCCACGAACATACTAATTACCGTTTTTTGAGAGACTGTAGGCAATTTGGATACATTTCCTCTGTCGAATATGAATAAAACTCCCATATTCATGACTGGTTTTCTTAATTTTTCATTAAAAATGACAGTTTAAAATACAGTTTTTAATCTTGTTTACCAAAAAATTATACCCCGAAACAACTTATTTGACCATGCTAAAGTTATAAAGCATCAAAAAAGGAATTTATTTCTCAAATTTGATAAATCTGTAGGCACCTTTCATTTCCTAGATCTTGACCTTAAGACGTTAAACTAAGTAATATCTGCGTTTAGCTGTATTTCATCGGGATCGGAATTTCATACCAACGAAAAAAAAACAAAAGCACGTGCTTGCACTCGGAATGCCTCGGGCACTGGGCCAATGTGAAAGTAGTCAGAAAATTAATAATTCCTTAATAAAGACTGTTAATTTGTCTAGTATTTAATATAATAATATGCATTTGCAATACAAAAAATTAAGTTTAATTCTTCAAAAATGATGGAATACAAGTCCAATTTTTTTCGTAGTTGGGAATTTCCCTTCTGGATCTTCCCTTTTTTGTGGAAGAATCGAGAAGACTGCCAGTTAGGTAGGTTGGTTAGAACATTTTTAAATTTCACTGACTGCATGAACACAGGTGCTTGTCACGATATATTTACAGTAGGGGTAGATAGAATGTTCTTACAGTAGGGTAGCTGCAGATCTGTAGCTCTCCGAAAAAAAATATATTGATAGACCGGAGACAGTAGGGGTAATTCAATGAAAAGAAGGTGTACATGTACAGTATATGCTTTGTCACATTTTATGAATGAAATGTTCCAAAAGTATAAGTTTCAACTTAAACCTAATTTATCAACTGTGAAACTATGTTAAGCTTATTTTTGTGAATTTGGCGTGCCATACATATAAGCTTGATACATGGAATAGGGTTGATATTACCATGATTTACAGTCATGTTATGTATTGGTTCAGGATTATCACGTATTGGGCCATAAAACTTCATATTTCATGGTCGTTGGCATTCTTCTCATCATATTCCACCTCTTCGGATACCTAGTGATTTTCCCACAATATAGTATACACTTATCCACTGGTTGTGAGTGGGATAGCTTTTTTATCAAACCCGCGACAGGGAACTATTCCCCGAGGGCTTGCCCGAGGGGAATAGATCTCTGTCAAGGGTTTGATAAAAGAGCTATCCCACTCACAACCAGTGGATAAGCGTTTTATTATACTGATGTATAATATAATTTCTGAGGTTTGAATTTTTGGGGAGTAAGATAATATTGCAAGAATAATCTGAAATCCTGATGACGTCACAATGCTACTGAAGTCATTATGACATCATCAGTCAATAGATTTATCGCTGGAAATCTAAATTAGCGGCAAAAATTGCATGAAAATTTTCCGAGGGTGGATAGCAATAACTATACCCCGGGGTATAGCTTTGCTATGCGTGAACTATAAAAGATAGCTATTTTACCTTCTGAACTTTATATAGGAAACATTCTAACAGAAGTATAATAATTAATGTTATTGTTCGTTGAAAGAAAACTCCCAAGAGTAGTAGACGTCACAATAGCCTTGATTACGTCACTAAATTGATGATAAGTGATGACACAGTAACTTTACGTTAAAAATTATGAGAGTGAATTTGAGAGCGGTGCCAAACTTGAAAGTTTATGTTTATTTAAAGGTTTTGCTTACTTCGGTATAATAAAAAATTTATTGCATGAATGTTCAGGAAACATGAAGACTTATTCAGCCAAGAAATATATTCCCTTCGGGTGAAGCCCTCGGGGAATATGATTTTTCTTGGCTGAATAAGTCTTCAGTTCATATTTCCCTCACTTTCATGCAATAAATGTATAATAATACATGTATTGTAGATCACTAAATTTTCGCGACACAATATTTTCGCGAGATAGTCATTGACTTTTTTATTGGCGAGACCTAATTTTCACGAATTGTTGTTTTTCCTCTATATAAACTTAAGGAATACTTTTAAACATGAGAATGAAATTTTCACGAGCTCATTCTCTCGCGTAATTACGCGAAAAATAAGTTCTTGCGAATAAAACGTGATTTACAGTATTTGTAACAAACCCATTTTAACTACCTGTGCTTAAATGGAGTTACAACTCAAATAAACATATCAGCCAGGTCGTGTAGCCTAGTGGTAGGGCATTTGCTTCGTAATCCAAAGGCCTGCCCCAGTGGTTTGATTCTCATTGGCTGCACTAGCTGCTTCAATCCTGAGATGTAAACATAGGTGTTGTGACTTCTTTCACACATCATTTGTTAATTGGTAGGTAATGACTAGAAAAATTAAGAACCCTCTGACATTACTTAATTTTCTCTGAGTGCAGTGTGCTGTGCATGTGTTAAGTATGGTCTAAATTTGAAGCCCTTTACTTCATGGTAAAAAGTGACATCTCTATATATCATTTGATTGAAAAGTTCTCAAATGAGACTATATTAAGATTTACATACAATCATTTTATCAACATATCAGTGCTAATGATTTGAGATGTCAGCTTTCAAGATGCTGAAGTTCAAACAAACATATGTCATTGAGATGTTTAATTTTAATTTTCATGTTGTTTTACAGATAAAATCTTGTGAATGATCAAATAAATCAAGATCGAAAGACTCTCTGGGGGGGTTCGGCACATTACTGAAGGACTTGCTTAAAATCTTGCAAGTGAACGATGAGTAGAATGAAAACAACTATGATGTTGATGCAAGGAATATTATTATTATTCCAAGTAAGTGATCATAAAATTGATAAATTAATATTAAAACAATTTCATTTACCAAAAAAGGAAATTAAAGTTATTCAGAAGACTTTTGAAATAAATTATTAGGCACAGTGAAATTTCTTTTTATTTTGCTTGTATGTATTTAATATCCAAATTATTCCCTCCCTAAGTTACCATGGTAAGGAGAAAAATTATTGTTGTGATTAATATACCCACATGCTGCTTATTGAAGTATATAGTCATGTACAATTTTTTGTACAATTCATGTATTTACAATCACTGAATTTTATATCCTTTAGTTCTTACAAAAACTGTTGCTGTTTATCACTTTTAAAAGTAAACAGCAAAAACCAAACATATACCACGTAGATGTATCTAAACAGATTTCTTGAGAAGTGGCTATTCCATTAATGAAATATACAAATGACAGCTTATGTGGTTTTTGCTTTTTATTGCAATAGCGGCAATGTGAATTCTCATACCTATCAAAGCAATAAAAAAAGCATTTTAGGCCGGAATTAAAAATATCTTTGTTTCCCCTAACCCGACCCTAAATTCTCAAGTTGGGTCGGTCTCGGTAGGTAGGTAAACAATTTTATTTTCTGACATCAGCTTTGATAATACATTCTAAATTTAATGGAGAATGTGGAGAATTACCTTTATAAATAAGGAAAGTACAGAGGAAAGCGATGAGTGAACAAAATGTTAAGTATCGTACATATGCCGTTTAATAGCAAAATTCATGATTAATTAATTCACAACTGTTATTTAGTTGAACTTGTGAAATATCTCACGCCATTACATAAATTATAAATTGAATAAAATAGACAAGATTCTCAAATACGCAAAGACCAGACATACGAGTATATTTTTTCAAACCTTCCATCAGCCTTCAGAGCTTATAGACGATCGATGCACTTTTTTGAGGGCCATGAGATTTGCAGTGGTTCTGTAGCATTTTGCTTTGGAGTAAAGAAGTAAGTGACTAATTTTAAATCGCAGGTTCAAATCCCAATGAGTAACTTTGAAAACAGTCCTTCAAAGGGGACCATGAAAACTTATGTCCAGTGTCGCAGAAGATGCTGGCTCAAAAAAGATCCCACACTGCTTAATGGCAAAAAAGTGCTGAGTACGTCTAACTTTGGAGCAATGGGGAAATGTTTAAATGTCGTCCTAACAAATCTCGAAGGGATTAAAAGCAAAGAAACAACCAATCTTCAAGGGCCTAATTAAAGAAAAATACACTGAACGTCTCAGGAAGCTGAACCATGATTTCAAAACTATTTGGAAAGAGTATGTTAACAATATTTAAATGAACCAAACCGAATCTACAAATGATAAAAATGCTATATACAATGTGAGGCTGTAGTCACGAAGTTTAACCACTAAATATTTACATCCACTGAATATTTTCTCCTTTATTTCTTAAGAAACCCCATTGCGTTCATCCCTGCATAAACTACAATAGGCATGTCGCCTGTACAGATTTCTTAATCAGTGGCTGTTCCATCAATGAAACGTATAAAGACGTTCGCATCATTAATACAATAATTAATCTTTTTAATTGTACTTTAACTGATTATTTAAACAGATATAAATATAAACAATAAAATGTCTTTCTTTGTTTGTTATTACTGGAATGAACGGTCGCAGCTATTGCAGAAAAAATTTACAAAACCCGCTTACGCGGGTTATGTATTTTTTCTGCAACAGCTGCTTCCGTTCATTCCAGTAACAACAAACAAAGAAAGCATTTTATTGTTTAAATAAAGGCATGAAGAAAGAACATCTGAATTATACTCATTAGGATGAAAATGCAGACATATTTACAACAACTCTTTTGGTTCCATAATGGCATATAGTAAACATAGGAACATAGATGGACTGTTTTTTAGATCAAAACTCATATTAAATAAAATGCAGTGAAATTGAATGATTTGTTCACTAGGTGGGCCCCCCAATCTACTCATGAGACGGGCCTTACGATGTATTACGCGTACGTACCTTAAATCAAAAAACAGGTTTGTGTAACGTCAAAATTTATTCACACACATGGATATGCCAAGACACCCCCAAAACACTCTTAATTAGTCATGGTAAATTTTATTAACGAATTGTTTCAAGAGTGAAAAATTCCAATTAGCTAAAAGCATAAGATTGAGACGTCGCCATTGTTTTATGAAGAGCTATTATAAATGCCCTGTTATCACATCTGGACGCCATTTTGTTTCCAACAAATGCTTGAAAATCACAGTAGAACAATGTCGGCCGTTCTGATAAAAACTGATTTTGATGAAATTGTATTTAATAAAACTTGGTTAACAATAAAAAAAATTGTTGAATTATCTTATTTAAAAAATCTTTTCAGTCGGTGCGATTTCATTGTGTCAGTCGCGTTAGGGGAAACAAAGGTATTTTTTATTTTGGCCTTATGTTTAAGTAAACTTTGTCACAACTACATGTAGGTGAAGGGGTATTCTTTTGTACTTGCTGGATAATATTGGTATGTCCATCAAATGATCCAAATGGAACCTCAAAAGAAAATGAATTTAATAATAGTATACATTTTTTTAATAGTATACATTTTTATAAAGGAATTGCACAAATAGTAAAAAGTAAAGAGACTTATATAACTAAAAATGAAATCCTCCAAAACATATAACCTTTTTAGTGTTTTTATTTTACAGATACTACAAATTTGTGCCTGCCCTGTTGGATATAAAAGTAGAGATGATGGTACCTGCTGCAAAACGAAGAATTGTTCCCCAGGTTTGAAATCCTTCTAATCGTCTCCACTATTGCATAAAATGGTGTATTGTTTAACTTTAGACCATCACTAAAAAGATTTTTGTTTGATGTACCTCAGCCCACTTAATTCAAGATGAGTAGGTATAGGTAGGAATTTTTATTTTTGTTTTGCTTTACAGAATTAGGCAAAATGATACCCGTCATATAAATCACAAACTCAGAAATATATTGAAGTTTTCATTACACTCTGGATAGCTATACATGTATTGATTTATAATTTATTGCTATAAAATTTTCAATTAAAAAGCATCCTAGACTTTGTCTAAGTTCTATGGAAACTGAAAAAAAAAATTAAAATTCAAAGTGCTGAAAAAAATTATTGTTTAGGGACGATTTTGACTGATTGGTTAGAGTACATAAACAAACCATTTTTAGCTCTACTGGTCAGAGACCAGAAGAGCTTATGCGATAGTAATGCGTCAGGCGTCCGTCCGTCTGTCTGTCCGTCCGTCTGTCTGTCTGTAAACAATTTTTCAAAACGCTATTCCTCCTACAATTTTAGTCCGATTTCAATATTACTTGGCACACAAGTAGACTACACTAAGATGCATAATTCTGTGCATCGGTTTTTGATTTTGATGAACGGTGTTGCCATGGTTACTAAAAATAGAAATTTCTGTGAAATTGTTTCAAAATGCTGCTCCTTCTACAGTTTTGGTCTGATTTCAATATAACTTTGCACACAAGTAGACTACACTAAGATACATAGAATAGTGCATCGGTTTTTGATTTCGATGAACGTGTTGCCATGGTTACTAAAAATAGAATTTTCTGTGAAACTCCTTTAAAACGCTACTCCTTCTACAGTTTTGGTCTGATTTCAATATAACTTCGCACACAAGTAGACTACACTAAGATACATAGAATAGTGCATCGGTTTTTGATTTCGGTGAACGGTGTTGCCATGGTTACTAAAAATATAATTCTCTGTGAAATTCCTTTAAAACGCTACTACTTCTACAGTTTTGGTCTGATTTCAAGATGATTTGGCACACAAGTAGACTACACTAAGATACATAGAATAGTGCATTGGTTTTTGATTTCGGTGAACGGTGGTACCATGGTTACTAAAAATAGAATTTTCTGTGAAATTCCTTTAAAACGCTACTCCTTCTACAGTTTTAGTTTGATTTCAAAATAAGTTGGCACACAAGTAGACTACACAAAGATACATAAAATAGTGTAATGGTTTTTGATAAGTACAAACCAGTAGAGCTACAGTCTCGACAGAGACTTCTGGTTTATTGTTGGCCTTACTGAAATTTTATTATTGTTACTCCAAGTACCATACGTCAGTAAAACTCGTTTAGTACAAATACGGATATTGCAAATTCATGGATATAGCGAAGTCATCTGAATCCCCAGCTTAATAATTTAATTCTGTTTGTATTCTTGTCTCTCATTGGTTGATTTCCAAAAAGGAACACATAACATTTTGTATAATCTGGTTTGGTATGGGGACACACCCCCTTGACAACCAGCTGAATCATCTGTATCCATCAATCCCCTCATTTCCAGTCCTTCGGATTCATGAAAAATTCCAGATTTAATGAATGTACCTTTAACTTCAAACAGTTGCTCGATCTTACCTCATGTAAACAAGCATCATGGCTGCTAGATCTATGTATCAGTTTTTACCTCCCCTTGCTTCCCATCACTTCCGTTACTACGGTTGTATTATTGCGCGGTAAATTTGAACTAATAAAAACAACACAATTTTACATCCCCAGTTGTTTAATTATTTTAAAATTAAATTATAAGGAATGACTCTAATTCTTGGCCAGATTATCGAGTATAATATGGTTTGGGTCAGTTTACGCTTTTTTATAATCCGCTTCGCGGAGTATAAAGCGTAAACTGACCCAAACCATATTATACTTGATAATCTGGCCAAGAATTAGAGTCATTCCTTAAATAAATTAATACATTTATTATATGGTTATAACAAATTATGGATGGAGAAGTATTTTTCATAGGTCCCAGTGACTTCATTTTATCCGAGATTTGCTGTAGTAAGATTGATTTTTTAAGAAATAAAGTCCACGTTTTTGTGAATGTTGCAAGATAATTTAATCTCTGAGGTCGACAAATGTTGTTTGAAATATAAAAGCTGAGGCTTAATATTTCAAGCAAAAATATATAATTATGTAAGCTTACATTTAATTCCTTAAGACAGAAAATATTACCCTTTTTTTGCTAAAATTGTATGTGTTGCAATGTAACTAAAGAAGCCCATCTTAGATTTGGTACTTACCATCAAATATATAAGCTAGCTCTCGAGCTCCCTATGTAGGTTAGCTCTCCATTCAAGAGTGTAACTTAACGTAGCAGCTATGCTGTTGAACAAGCATTGTTGTCCTGGTATATGTCTAGATTATTTGGGCAAGTTCAATATCAATGATAGGGGGGAAATAATAACCAGAGGGTATGTAATAGCATTATGAGAAGTTAAAGATCACACCAGGGAAAAAAATACTTGAACTTTTTACAGCATGTATTGTTATTTTTTTTTGGCTCAGTATTAAGTAATTTTTTGTGCTCATTCTTACAAGAAGATGGATATGTATGGTATGAGATTCATAGGAAAAATGTGTATGAAACGGTTTTAGTTTAAATATAGATCTATGATTTGGGCGGTTGATACCAGCTAAACAATCTTTACTAAGTTGTGCACATGGGAAAAAGCACCCTCATTCTTAAAGTTTGAGCTTATCCTTGTAACCTTGGATCTTTTATGATTTTGTTGTCGCTATAATTTCAGGAGAAGGGTACTCGTTTTGTAATGAAACAAGTGAAAATCCTGGTGTAGATGTTTGCTTTAGGTGTCCAAAAGGGACTTATAATAAAGATGCCATCAACACAGCTGACATGCCTAAGGTCTGGAAAGTCTGTGTCCCACAGGATTGTTCTTGCAAGCATGGTAAGTATTTTGTGTAAAAGCTACATGTCTAGTTGTAATATTTGAGTAAAATTGGACCATCTTAAAAAAAAGATTGTCATCTTCCAACTCATAATACCGGTAACTGAGAGTGAGTATATATATAATAATATAAATGTATCTTTTAAAAAGTTATATACAGTAAAACACTCATATTTAAATACCAAGGACAGATGATATTTTGGTTCATTATAAGTGTAATTTGTTATATCCAATAAGTTAAGCATATACATGTACATGTATTGAAAAGTCAAAGGGATTATGAAAATCACTTTGCTGTAAATGACAGTTCATTGTTAAGATGTTTGCTTTCAGCAAATTTAAGGTTTAAGAATAATAATTTGTCATGTCAAAACTACTTTAATGAAAACCACTGAGACTTCTAAGACATGATTTGATTTTATTTATTAGATGGAACAATTATTGAAAATATGACAGCTTGTGAAATGGGAGAACAGAAAATCTGTGTCTGTGACAGACAAAATCTCTTTTATGGACCGGATCCAGTGATCTGTAGTAGAAAAGAAGATCCCAAAGATATTGCCAAAATCCATCGTCCTGGATTCGAGCTCACCCTCACTGGTAATTTCATAATAGATCATGGGCTTAATGTGGCCTTAAGTTATATCAACAATCAGGGAGAGTTATTCTAATATTCATTTGATCACTTGAGTCTCTCAGGTACCTTATTGCTGCATGTCTTCATTTTTTGTAGCCCTACATTAAATGATTATATGTAGAGATATAAACAATAAAAATTCTTTCTATGTATGTTAGAATGGGACTAAAAATTGCAGCCATTGCAGAAAAAAATTGTGCACTTTTTTGAAAAACTGGAACATTAATTCCTGTGCTAACATCCAAAAGAAGCATTTTATTTTGCCCCATTTCAACAGAAGGGGGGTATACTGTTTTACCCTTGTGTTTCTGTCCGTATCAAATCTTATTACATTTTCCTAGTATCTTCTCTGACATTGCAGATGATTGAAATTTGAGCACACTCTTTTATATTTAGGCTTCCCATTTTTGTTAGCATTCATTTAACTTTCTGTTTATCTGAGTGTCTGTCCTATACTAATTTCTCAGCAACTAGACATCACAGATGATACTGTAAACCAACTATTATTTGCATCATCTTTTATTCGTGATTTGTCAGTTAAAAATAAATCTGCGATGATTAATTTCCGCGACCGAGGAAACATTCTATACAAATCCTTAGCAAAATGAATGGTTCGCGGCTATTAATATTCGCGAGTTAAAGAAAATCGCGGAACTCTCAGATATTTCTCGCACGCGAATAAAAATTGGTGTACAGTACAAACTTTCGCACACTTTTTGTCAGGCATGGCAGAGGCATGGTGGAATTAATTTTTTTAAATTCATCCTCAACTTCCTGTTTATCAATGTGCATGTCAAAACAGAATTTCCATCACAGTTTTCTCAGGAGCTGCTCATTGCAAATGCTTTAAATTCTAGCACAATGTCTAGGCATGCCTTACGTGGGATTCATTTGTTGTCAATTTCCTGCTTATCTATGTGTCTGTCTGTACCAAAGTTTCATTGCAGTTTTCTCAACACCTACTCATTGCAGATGCTTGAGACTTTGGCATATAGTGGGATTCATATTTGTATGAATTACCGTATAACGGGTAATTTTCACTGCTGTAAATTTTTACAAATAGGTTGATGTAATTTTTTACACGTTAAATTTTTACGAATTGAGCATGTCCGTAAAAATTATAATCATTGGTGGTGAAATTCCAGATCAATGTTTTAGCATTTTGAATACATTCACATACAAATACCTGTTTTAAATGTCTTGACAACCCGATGTAAAAATAAAAACGAAATTATTCCCATGATAACGAGTGTCAATTCATTAAATGATATTTTTATTCATATCAATACCTTTATATATCACATATGTCCTTAATTTATTCCCTTTTCACATGTCTATGCATCATTATTGTTGCGCACCACGTGCCCGTCTTCATTTTAATGGAAACAAAGAGAGACAACTCAAACCATCATGATTAAGTTGACAGAATTACAGCGGACACAGATTACAGTGTATTAAAATGTCGAAGCTTTTAATTGAAGAAAATAAGAATAAAAAAGAAGAAAGGATCAAAGTATTGAAAAACGGATATATATAATTTGAAAACTTCAGTCTGTAATAATTAAGACATTTATATAAGAAATTATGCGTCCCGTGAGAGGAGCTAGGTAATTGACAATGTTTGTATAATTTGTGCATGAATTAAGAATTACTTGTTTGATCCTAATTGATAATTATTTTATTAAAAGTTCCCAAAAATACTAACATTTATAAGTACTAATTCTTTAGCCTCTGGAACTTAGCTTAATGGCAGTGATAGCACTGAAACACTCTCATAACTAAAAATTTAGGCAATGCTTTTTTTTTTCTGTGAAATTTTACGCGTTTAAATTTTATGGATTTATAAAATTCGTAAACATTAGCAGCACGTAAAAAATACCCGTTTTACAGTATGTCAACCTCTGTATGTATGTTTTTACATCAGAGCAGGGGTATTATTTGAGAGAATTTGCTCACAGACTTGTTGTTTATTAATAACTGATGGTTTTGTAGGTAGTTTTCTCTTTGTGACTGTGACTTAATAATAAATTGGTGAGTTTTAAAGACAATCAATGACATGCATGACATTGGGAATAAAATTGTTTTGCCTTTTGTTGTATGCTAACATGACATGGGATGGGAGGGAGGGCAGACAGCTCCTTGGTTGCATGAAGACTTTTAACTAGATTTTAAAACTAGTTATTTATAGTGAAATTCTCAAATATATCCATAACCTGTAATATCACTTATTTATACATATTTCAGTATTGCATATATTGGCTATTGTTGAGTTGAATTTAATAATGTGAACAATAATTACATTTTAATGTTTTATTGTTAAATACAAAATATTTCTTACCCTTTACTCAACAGCTAGATTTGAAATACAGTCAAACTTCGTTATCTCGAACTCGATGGGACCAAGAAAGAACTTCGAGATATCGAGGGTAAACTACTTAAACTTAAACTACTGAAAGTTTGAGACTTAAAAATTACTTTGACATATCTATGTTATTTGAGATATTGGTGTTTGAGATACCAAAGTTCAACTGTACATGACATGTCTAAAAAATTTCCTAATTTGGTTTTCAAGGCAATTTTTAGTTCTACTGGTCAGAGACCAGAAGAGATTATGCGATAGTATTGCGTCCATCGTCCGTCCGTCTGTCTGTCTGTCCGTCTGTCTGTCTGTCTGTAAACAATTTTTCAAAATGCTACTCCTATTAGAGTTTTGGTCAGATTTCAATATAACTTGGCACACAAGTAGACTACACTAAGATACATAATTCTGTGCATCGGTTTTTGATTTCGGTGAACGGTGTTGCCATGGTTACTAAAAATAGAAATTTCTGTGAACTTCTTTCAAAATGCTACTCCTCTTACAATTTTGGTCCGATTTCAATATAACTTGGCACACAAGTAGACTACACTAAGATACATAATTCTGTGCATCGGTTTTTGATTTCGATGTATGGTGTTGCCATGGTTACTAAAAATAGAAATTTCTGTGAACTTCTTTCAAAATGCTACTCCTCTTACACTTTTGGTCCGATTTCAATATAACTTGGCACACAAGTAGACTACACTAAGATACATAATTCTGTGCATCAGTTTTTGATTTTGATAAACGGTGTTGCTATGGTTGCTAAAAATAGAAATTTCTGTGAAATTCTTTCAAATGCTACTCCTCCTTTAGTTTTGGTCCGATTTTAATATAACTTGGCACACAAGTATCTGGTAGACTACACTAAGATACATAATTCTGTGCATCAGTTTTTATTTTGTTGAGTGTCAAGGATCATTTTTCTATTGATTCCTGTTTTGAAGTCTCAAGTCACAACTGCTACTTTTCTCTTCCTTTGTTTTAAGTATAAACCAGTAAAGCTGCAGTCTCGACAGAGACTTCTGGTTTTTTTAGCTCTACTGGTCAGAGACCAGAAGAGCTTATGCGATAGTAATGCGTCCGCCCGTCTGTCTGTCCGTCTGTCTGTAAACAATTTTTCAAAACGCTACTCCTCCTACAATTTTAGTCTGATTTCAATATTACTAGGCACACAAGTAGACTACACTAAGATACATAGAATAGTGCATCAGTTTTTGATTTGGATGAACGATGTTGCCATGGTTACTAAAAATAGAATTTTCTGTGAAATTCCTTTGAAACGCTACTCCTTCTACAGTTTTGGTCTGATTTCGATATAACTTGGCACACAAGTAGACTACACTGAGATACATAGAATAGTGCATCGGTTTTTGATTTCGATGAACGGTGTTGCCATGGTTACTAAAAATAGAATTTTCTGTGAAATTCCTTTAAAACGCTACTCCTTCTACAGTTTTGGTCTGATTTCAATATAACTTGGCACGCAAGTAGACTACACTAAGATACATAGAATAGTGCATCGGTTTTTGATTTCGATGAACGGTGTTGCCATGGTCACTAAAAATAGAATTTTCTGTGAAATTCCTTTAAAACGCTACTCCTTCTACAGTTTTAGTCTGATTTCAATATAACTTGGCACACAAGTAGATTACACTAAGATACATAGAATAGTGCATCGGTTTTTGATTTCGATGAACGGTGTTGCCATGGTTACTAAAAATAGAATTTTCTGTGAAATTCCTTTAAAACGCTACTCCTTCTACAGTTTTGGTCTGATTTCAATATAACTTGGCACACAAGTAGACTACACTAAGATACATAGAATAGTGCATCGGTTTTTGATTTCGATGAACGGTGTTGCCATGGTTACTAAAAATAGAATTTTCTGTGAAATTCCTTTAAAACGCTACTCCTTCTACAGTTTTAGTTTGATTTCAAAATAAGTTGGCACACAAGTAGACTACACAAAGATACATAAAATAGTGCAATGGTTTTTGATAAGTACAAACCAGTAGAGCTACAGTCTCGACAGAGACTTCTGGTTGTATGTTGCATTTGATGCACTCGTGTTATATAAGATGAACATGCAATCTAATTTATGTTCATGAGAAATGCTATTGTTTTAGTAAAGGGCCAAAAGAAATTCCTGATTTCAAGGTAAAAAAAAATGAAAACACATAAAGTGATAGAGGCATAATTAAGGATAAACAACACAGGAAAACTTTGTTTCAGCAATCAGCAGTATTTCTCATAAATTAATATTTAAATAGGTCAACTGTATGATAATTTGTGGGTAAAGTGGGAGAATTTTGTTTATGGGTCACATTCCTCAAACTGTAACATACTTATCACTTGTCCACCACTTCTATATTATCAGTGAAAAGACCTCGATGAGACTTTCACTGAATCTTTTTTATATGATGACTGAGTGCACATTCTGGGGATCATTTTATAAGTTCTTACAGTAACTCTATTTCGTTTGTTTTTTTATTAGATGTTTACCAAATTGATATAGGCCTTTGTTTTTGGTTTGTTTGTTTGTTTGTTTTTTTTTTTTTTGCATAATTATACTTATTTCTTTTCTTTCAGGGAGTATAGAGAAGTGTAAAAAAGGATATTACAAACCTAAAGTTAATGACAATATCTGTGTGCCCCATCAAAAGTAAGTGGAAAGACTCAGAATTTTAAAAAAATATATATACTTGACTATATTATATATAAAAATTATATAAAACTTCAATGCTCTGTGGTAAAAGAAAAACTAGCTGAGGCAAAGACCAAGCAAGAGGCACATTAATTTTGTTTGTTAGCTCACCTCCATGAAGTTAAATGAGATATGCTAATGCTATACCCCTGGCGACAGCATTAATGTCAGTGTCTCGGTTAAAGTTTTAGGAGAAAGTCCATTCCCAATTAACTGTAAGTCATCCTTGGGCCAGACTTGCATGGATGATGCGCCAGATCTGACCTACATTTTCTGGATGAGTGAACAGGTTAAAGTTTTTGGTGCAGGTCTCTTTCCACAATATATTCCTTTGGTAAAAGTAAGGCTGAGATCAAGAGTGAGCTCGTTTTTTGACCCCCAGGCCTAGTTAAATTTTTTGGAGCAGGTCCATTTCAAAGATCTAATATACATGTAATACATGAGTCTACACTTTGTTTTGTTAAGATGCAATCATGTTGTTTTTGTTGTTTTTTTTTCAAATGTTGCAATACCAGGGATTGCAATTGAGAGGGATTATTTTAAATGATTAGATATGGATGAAAATTAAATTAGATGATACTTACATGTAAATTGGACAGAAGATGCACTGAAAAATCCATACTAAATCCTTATACCCAACTTAATTTGTCAGTTATGAAGCTTTGACCATTAGATTTCAAGAGTGCTTTACATGTACTTAATTTTCTCTGTAGACGAAATTTGAAAAAAAAGGTGCAGGTTCGATTAACTATTATATATCAACAGATTTTTTTGACACTTTATTTTCACAAGAAAGGAATTTAGAATTTACATGCATGGAAGATAAAATTTTCTTGAAAAGTCTCTGGTTATTGCTGTTCATATCCAATGCTAATTAGAGTTTCATGAGTGACTATCTAGTGTGATTATTTGAAAATAAAACTATCATGAATAAAAAGTGACATTTGCAGCATTACCCTAATTTAAGGTAAAATTGAATAAAAAATTGTGCTATTTCATAGGAGTTCTAGGATATAATTGATACATGTAAGTATATGTTATAAAGGCAGTGGTTTTATTTCGATGTATATTTTTCCCTATTTGCAGTCCGTGGTGTGGTTTAACATGTTCTTGTAATTCCTCCTCCCTTCATCTAATAATATTAGTTACATAGTCTTTTAGTGACAGGGTATGGGATGATACCTGGTTAGTAAATTTCATATCTGGCGAGGCGGAGCCGAGTCAAGTATGAAATTTACTAACCAGGTATCATCCCATACCCTGTCACTAAAAGACTCACTATGTTACGAATTTACTCCACCGATGAAACATCTACATTTTATCTGTAGTTTATAAATGGTTTTCTCTGCTAAATGCATCATCGCACTTATACTGTGCCTATTATGACGTCATACATTGACCGGGTATAGATTTACTGACAGGGTATGGATTTACAACTGACCGGGTATAAGTAATCCACCGCCTTCACGTGATAGACTTCAGCCAATCGTAAGCCAGGATTTCACAGAAAAATCAACAGAGGTGGGGTAATGTGTAAACACTACCCAACCTGTGATCTGTAGTTGTTTTATACCTGGCAACCTAAAAAATAATACATTTAGTCAGCACATTAAAGAGTTATATGTGTAAATTACACAGTATTTAATAATTTTAAATAATGCAGATGCCAGTCAGGATACCGTGTGAAGATTCCTGGGACCACGACTACAGACAATGTGTGTGAGGAAATACCAACAGAGAGGGAGACAACCCCGAGACTGCCTCCAGATCGGGAAAAAAATGACACTGCTCCTGATGTAAAAGGTTTGAATTAATTCTTAATAAGCATGAAATGAAAAAAAAATTAAGTTATCTGCAGAGGATTTGAGATAGCAGGGGTAAAAGACCATTGGAATTTTGTCCATAAAGCTTGTTGACTTTGGTGTCTTCACACAACAGAGATATATTGATTTATTGTACCAAGGCATGGTTATGTTTATGGAAAGCTATTTCTTTCTCTGTCAAATTCACCATATTTTGAACTTACACACTTGGATGAGAGTGTTAGAGGTGGTTAAAAAATGGAGGTGAAAATTTCCATGTATACTTTGTTTCCTAAATTAATTTGTTAAAAACTAGTTTATCCTCCACAACTTGATATTGGTAACAAGCTTTGCCTGTTATGCAAATTATTTTACTTTTCTAACTATCGTTGATGCCCTGAGGTACATGTATACCTAACAAACTAGACACTGATTCCTTATATATTTCTCATTTTTAAGCTTTATACATGTATTCTGGGTTTTTTTTTTCAGTGGAGCCCACTTACCATTCTCGTACACCAATATATAAGTATGTGATCATTGGTGCTTGTGTGTTGGGGCTATTGTTACTATTATTTACATTTTGGTAAGTAATTGACTTGATTATAATCTAAGTGTACAGTTTCATTGCACTGATTCAATTGAAGTTGTGCATAAAGTTTTCAATAAATTAATTTCTACCTATTCATTTATTTCATAATTATACAAAATATTCTTCTCAGTATTTACGGTATATTAATTTTTTACCCATGTTTACCCTTTATCCTTTGGGTATGACTTGTTAAATATTATACAATTATGGACTTCAGTGTAGGTCGATATGAGGTTATATGGACTCATGGCAATTGATATTGACCGAAGACACAGAAAGTGATAGCGACTGAGCCTGCGAGGTTGCTATCATTTTCTGTGTCTGAGGTCAATATCAATTGCCATGAGTCCTTATAACCACATATTGACCGTTCACTGAAGTCCATAATAGTTATATTATATAATCACTCAAAGTGAATGCACTAACACAGTCCTAACTAAACAGACTTGGCTGTCATTACGTCACAATGGTTAAAAACACACTTCCCATACTATAACATCACGTTTTACGTAACTTCAGAGCAACCGAACACTGTGTCGTGCGTTATCATTTTCCACCGACGTGATTTCGTGTCATCACAAAAGGAGGAATATCACGTGACGTCCTTTCTGCCAATGAAAATTAGGGAAATAATCTTCTTATATTATATAATAATATTTTGTTTTATATCCCATGGTTGTGACATCACGATGATTTTTGCATTAGCTTGATGAAGTAAAATAAAGTGGAGCTCTATATAAAACAGTGCAAAACATTGATTGTGAAGTATTAAACATGGGATAAAAAGAATCCCCCATGATTTGTAGTTTATACATGTATGTTTATAAAGCGTAAATTAAACTGCCCCAAGTTATGTTATATCGTATAATGTAAGTTGAAATAAGCTTCATTCCTTAAATAATTACTATTCTTACCTCTTTTTTAGTGTTTGTCGCAGAATAATGCCAGGTATGTACATGCATGCATATTAAAGACTATTGTCAATGATAAAAAAATGTTTCTTTGCTAGGCAGACTGAATGACAGGTAAAAAAAAGACCAACTCTTGACAGCCTTTTTCCCCTTTATCTATACTGTAAAATCACTTAATCTCGAGGCGTCAAAGTTTTTAGGTTTGAGGAAAATTTATTGGTTCATTGGGATTTGATTTCGTTGTTGAATAATTGCTCAGTAGTAATACAGTAAAACTTGGTTAAAACGAAGCCATTGGGACCTATGAAATTACCTCATTAATTCTATATAAGAAATCTGTGGGGATCCAAGATAACTTCGCTTTATATGTGAATTCACAATACAGCAAAACTCGTTTAGTACGAACACGGATATTGCGAATTTACGGTTATAACGAAGTCATCTTGAATCCCCAGCTGTATAAATTTAATGACTTTCTTATACGCTTATAACGAATAACGGTTATAGCGAAGTAATTTCATAGGTCCCTGTGACTTCGTTATAACCGAGTTTTACTGTATCCGTATTTGTAATAAACGAGTTTTGCAGAATATGTGAAAAGTTGCATTTCGTGATGGATGTGAAAATCAAAGCTAGAATTCAGGCCTCAATCATAATTTGTTTTGTTTTGAACATATTTTATTGACAATATGTCAAAGGGATTGGACACAAGTTCCGAAAACTTACATAGTCCTCTCCCATGCCTAATTTCAAAGGATGAGTCATGAAATTCAATAAGTTAATAGCTTCTAAAGGGGAAGTCATTTATAAATCTACATACTCATGTGAGCATTGTCCTTTAGGTGGGTTTTGTTTTTAATAAAGATTATGATAATATGTTATTTAGGAAGTTGCATATTTTTCATGATAAACACACAATTAAAATTTGTAAATGGACACAAGAATCCCTTTTAATAAAAAACATGCATACTTTTTTTGTAACAGAGAAGTACAGACTTGCCAAAGAATCTTTGAAGAGAACGTTTGGCACCAATACAGCAAATCAACCTGACAATGAAGATCTCTATGAACCATTGAACATTCCAAGAATTGATCAAATGAATAACCAGATAATTTTATGTGATGAAAGAGAAACAGGGGAGAGAAATAGTGAACCAGAAATCCCCCCTGATTCACTGCATGGGGATTTATCTGAAGATTTATCTGATGTACCTACCTATGTATGCCAAGCAAATATAATTCTAGATGACTCAACACCGTTAACATCATATGATCCAGAGGACCAAGGTAATACAGAATCATTTTAAACTGAAATTCTTTTTTACAGGTGCTTGACATTATTTTTCTTTTTTAAAGAAATACTTTCTAACTGAAAAATTAAAGGTACACATCAAAGTAGGATGTCTCAAATGTTTTGCCAATAATTTAATGAGAATAATAAATAAGCATTACAGAAATAAACATTCAATGTCATTGCATTTCTATCCCATTGCAATATCATATCTGTGTAATTTTTAAAGTTCAAATGTAAACACAGCTTGTCATTTAGGTATTGCGCCACCATTCAATAGCAATAGCATTCACCGTTAAAGAGAACTTTATATTATGAAGTATTTATGATCCTACACACAAACTTTGGGAGGGGGTTATATAAGAATCACTTTGTCTGTCTGTTTGTCCATGCAATCATGTCTAGAAAATCATGCATTTTGTAATGGAAAACATTGGAAGTTCATACATGCACTTGATACAGTAAAAGCTAATAACTTAAATGTTGATATGGTAAAAGATAATGATCTTGACTCAAGGTCATTTTAGAAAGTTCAAGGTCACTGGCAGACAGTGTAATGTTTGAGTGCAGTCAATAAATCTCTAATTGAGAAACATTTGAAGTTCAAGTACTTCCTATTAAACATTGCCTATGGCTCAAAGATAAGTTTTGACCTTGACTTAAGGAGACATTTAGGCAAGTATAAATTAAAATATTTTAAAAAAAATGTCATTTGGGAATTCAAGGTAACCAACAGAAAAAATATATACTGGTGTCTCATTATATCGCGGTACTTAATCCTTCTGCATAAAAAGTGTTATTCCAATTTTTACTCAAGCCCTAGAGGGGCTTGAGTTATCTAAAACGATGCTAGGTCATCGATTTACTCAGTTTTAAAACACGAAAATATATTATTTTGGTAGATAAAAATATTACTAGAAACAAAAATGAAGCTTATCTTGAAAACGTCTGTATATTCATAGATATTAAGTGTTTCATGTCGGATTCTTTTCTATGGCGAATGAACAATGAGTGAAGCCCCGCAGCCGCAACAGTTTCTATACAGAGATTTCGCGCTTTCCTTTGCGTAGGAATCTCAGGTAACTTTCAGTCGCCGACGTTTTGGTCGCCGACAAAGCATCCTTGGACGAGTCCACTGGTAACTCTGAAAGGTGACGCAGGTTACCCCATCGTTAACAAGTTGTACAATGCATGGCCAGAAAAAGGATGTGCCCCCCTCCCCCTTCAAACTGATACAGTAACTCACTTGCCTGCAAATGATGTGTAATAAGATAATCTTATAGCACAAAATAAATAAATGATAAATTCTCACTCATACACAGTGTACGTTTGTTTTTCTAAAAAATAGAATTATCGTCAGTTTGGTAATGGAACCTATATGACTTCTTTTGGATTCGTACTGAATATGTATTGGACATGCCGCACAGCTGGATGATGAATCCGTAGGCACGTGGATTATTTGCAGCCCCCCCCCCCCCCCTTTGAAAAAAACTTTTCTACAGGTTTTTAACAAGCTATTTCGATCGATGTATATTAAATGTTGTCATAGGCGTCGGAAGCAAACTGAAAGTGGATGGAGACCTAATTAAAAAAAGGGGGGGGGGGGGGGCTAAACCAACAAAAACAAGTAACCCCCAATTTTCAAGGCCTATACGTTATGTCTATCTTTGCAAAAAAAAAAAGCCCCCACCCCCGGTTCCGACGCCTAAGGTTGTGATGTACGTTATTAAGAAAATAATCAAAAAAATGTATATCATAAATTGAAGTATATTAAATGTCTACATAAACAAATATTTCATTAAATTAAGAAACGGAAACTACATGTATCCTCTATAAAATATTTCCTGAAAGTGTGTAACGTAAATTCATCTTAAAAAGTAATACGGTTAATTATATTTATTCTAATTAAATTCAATATATGAATTCTGTTTCTTGTACATGTATTTTATTCAACAGAAGACTGAACTCAATAGCCTTCATCTTATACCATTTTAGAATATTAATTTAGGACACTTCCTAGCTGATTTTCTGCAGCTTGAGTATCTCTGACGTTTTGTCAGTATATACTTGTTTACTTTTAACTTTCATAAAAAAATATTCATCAACCAATCTATGGACTAACTTTTTAGTGTAAAATTATTTCCCAAGCTTGCATCGTTTAAGTTACTGTCTATTTTTAAAACAGGAAGTATTATTTACCTCCAAAATTGGAGAGTCTCATTGTATCGCGGTATGGGAAAACATGAAAACTTGTAGATGACATGGACCTCAATTTTTATTTTTGAATTTAATATGTAATTCTACAGGAAAAGTAAATAAATATACAAACTTAAGACATTTAAAAGATGAGCCATAGTATAATTTTTACTAGGTTATAGATTTAATGGTTAAAAATAATAAAAACGTGACTGGAAATCTGAAAAATTACGTTTTTGTTAAATATTTTTTTTCAAACAGATGTTCCATACTTCTTAATCATCAAAAAAGTAAACATTCGGACAACATAAACATATTGTCCATCAATAAAAAGAATAAAGGCTATGTATTCAAATTTTTGCAACATACCGCGATACAACGAAACCCGCGATATAATGAGAATTGAGTATACTAGTAGACATTGGAATTTCATACTTACACAAAGATTACCTTTGACCAGATGAAGAATTATTTTCTTTACTCAATGCTAATCAGATAAGTTCAAGATCACATTTATAGGAATGCATTAGGACACTGAAATGCAATGTAATTATGGGAGATTTTTTATAGAGAATAGTGTAGAAGAAAGTAGTACTGGTCTAGACTTGGAGACATCTCTTAAAACTTCAGTTACCAACTCAAACTCCAATCTAGGGGTCAATGTCCAGGGTGAAAGCAGTGGGGACAATAGAAGACCCATTGGTAGAGGTAAACAATATCAGTGATGTGATACAGAAAAAAATTAAAAGCATATAAAAATATGCTTCATTCACCTACAAAAGAATTATAATTCATGCATAGTTTATAAAGCTATGGTCTTCAAAAACAAAGTGTCTCTTATTTACAAAAACAAAAAAATACTTATGATGAACTACCTTTATGTAAGCAAATTTGTATAAAATTAATGTGTTTTATTTTCCAGAAGGTAAATTTATTTAAATAGGGTTGCAGAGTATTTTATAAATCATGGAAAATGAAGCATTGAAGAATTTATTGTGCCTAAATGAAAAACTCATGTTCTAATGGAACAAATGAATTGTATTCCAGTATTTCCCATTAGAGTGGAGAGTCAAGATGGAGACCAGAGTGGAATTATTACAAGCCCCTCAGAGGATGACAGTGGACAGTTAGTTCCTGGTGGTCAAAGAGTCATGGCAAATTCTGTGTATTTTGTTAGATCACCTGGTATTGATGATCAGCAACCTTTGGATCTCTCTGAGTTGGGTGTTCAACAAGTCAGAGAACACTCAGTTAATTAAACACCAGAGGTAAGTGCGCTTTGTTTTCATTTCTTAATATTTATTTCTTTTTCAAATTGATACTTCTCTGGATCCTCTACAATGTTGTATTAAGCTCAGATGGCAGTTAAGATCCTTGTACCTGAGCTTGTTTGACATACAGAAACAATTTAAATTGCTCTCATGTTATAATGACTTTATGTTGTTATATACTTATTTGTCTTTTTTAGGTTGAAACTGTATATGAACACTATGGATCTACAATAACTAACAGGATCGAGTTTTGTCAATTGACAAGTCAAAACTCGAAGAGAAGACAATACTTCATCAAAGGCCTGCTTGGGCTGTTCATTCATCATTAATATGAGACTCAGAGATGCATCACATCAATGGAGGAAGGGTAGTGAAAAAATATATCTAATAAAACAGGAAAGAGCTGTCATGAATAATGGTAGAAACTAAAAATGAATTTGGGGAAAAGATAAAATTATTGTATGGGAAGAAACTTTAAAGGGTTTCCTAGTTAATGCAATATATGTATGATCCACTCCTGAAGTGTCTGGTCTAAGGATGGATGATGATTTTACACTGTTTCGGGGATATTTGACCACCTAGATGTGCAACAGGCGGTGCTAGCTGTGGCCGTACAGCTGTTGTGACACATACCATGTCTGTTCTATAGAGTTTAACATAAAAGGAAATGGGTTCTTTATCAGTGCACATACAGTGCCATGTCAAATTGATTTTGACTTTCTGCTACTTTACAGCTATGATATTGATTTATGTAGAAAATGAAGCATTTTTATGGCATTCAGTTTGAAGTTATCATTTGAAAAGTAATTCTGATGCCAATAGCAATAAACTTTTAATTTAATATTACTTCAAGAAAAAGGCCAAGGTCACTTTTTCAAAGGGTAATTTCAGTCACTAAAAGATCTTTGCCCTAAACATCAGACTCGGAATGTTAAATTCAAACCTTCAAGTCATCATTATGTTGTTTGCTATACAATGTATGACTGCATTCATTGATCAATTTAAAAGTGGGTAATAATTTCATCCCATTTAAATTTTTCTGAATTACACCAATCTATGTGAGAATTTGATTATAGTATTCATCTTGTTAAGTTTGGTTTCAAGAAATTATACAAACTGTTGTCAACTAGGGAGAGAGTCAACCTATTGTCCCTTGATAATAGAGAAGATTGAAGGCTAGTTTCTTAGGTTTTTCCCATTATTGAGGGACAACAATTTGACTGTTCCCCTCATTGTCATGATAAAAGAGTTTATTTTTCAGTCACATTGTTATTTACAGAAGATTGATAGTTATTTGGTAAATAAGCAAGAGAAAAAAAATCACGAATTTGGTACATTGTATTAGTTTTACCAGTAGTTGTATTATATCTTCTCTAAAACAAAAATCTGTGAGAAGGAATTTTTTGCAAGCAAGTTATATTTATACACTCAGTATTAAATTTGTTAAATCTGAAGTGTGTCTGTTACATGTACCTATTGGTCTGTGAAAGTTTAGAATCATCTGTCAGATTGTTTCCTGCATAAATGAGTTATATGTATTTGTTGTTGAAATTTTAAGAGCCATTCTCTGTAATAATTTGAAATTTTATTTAGGAGCTGTGGCACGCATAGTCCCGGAATTTTTCCAAACTCTCTATGATAAAAGTCATTGATACCCTAAACTGAAATCAGGCAAAAATTGCTTGCTATGTTTTAAAGTTACCATGGCAACATGTCTTAAAGTTCGAAAATGGCATTTCTTAACATGTTTAGAGCCCCATAGTTAACATTTGCGGCAAAGCAAACAATTAGCAATGACTGTTTCCAAAAGTTGAAGGTCAGGTGTCTCAAATGCATGATAAACATGTTTGGTAAATCAACTATTACATACGTTACTATGGTAATAAAGTATTCAAAAGTAAAAAAAAAAATCATTAAATTTTACAAAGTCATACACGTAAAAATAAAAAGCAATTATAGGATGAAATGTGACCAAATAATAGAAAATAGAGCCTTGAAACATATACCAAGAACAAAATATGATATTTCATTTTGGTTGGCAATGGTTGCCAAGGTTTTTATACCACAGAGAGCCTTCAAAGTAACACTCTGTATCTTTAAATCTGATCCTATCTTTAAAAAAAGCACATTTCCTCATAACTAATGATCAATTTTATAAGATGTTGGTGTGCTCCAAATTTTCCCATTTGAAAAAATTCAGATTAGATTCTTTAAATAGGGCGTTGCTATGGAAATAAGCAGAAAGTATATGCTTAAAAACCTGAAAAATATTTTCATTCCTTGGATACGTACCCTTAAATGTAGATTCCCAAAGCTTTTATGACTGATATTTATTATCAGCTAACTTGACTTTCAATTTTGACTATCATCCAATCTCTAAGTGGATGCAAGAAGGTGGCACACAGGGTTTAATATTGATACAAAGTTCGCGAAATCGAACATTTAACCTTCTTGGTAACCATAGCAACAGTGTTGTTTTATTCATCAAATTTTATCAATATATGATATTCAACTTCAGTACTAACAGATAAGTACTATTCAAGCTGAGTCCTTTAATTTGTTTCTTGATTAAATGGCAATTTAATTCTTAATGCAATGAAAAATAATTCACTTTTAAGCACTGGTACTTTGTTTCCATGGTAACACTGCAAAGTAGCAATTATACCCAATATTTCTTGTGGTTTGGTGTTGCAAGGTCCTAAGGATGCATATTTGCCAGTCTTGAATTTTCATGTTTTTCCTAAAGACAGTAGCATTAACCCAAACTTAGTTACTGGTTTTGCATGGTTACACTGTGTTACCATGGCAACCATAAAAGTTATTCATAGAATAATATTGCTTATACTTATATACTTATGGTCAAACATTTTCATTGCTTTTCTTAAGTCGTTGATTGAGTTTGAGCATGTAACACCTACCATTAGTGAATACGGAGTGTTTTTCAGCGTATTTCACAATTTTAAATTTATTCCAAATGAACCCTTGGTTACCACTTACTTAGAGATATATTCTACACAGTTTCTTTACAGTATAAGTGACATCAAGGTGTCATGTTTTTGTGAAAATGGTTTGTTTGCGTTTTCTAGTTTTTATTAAGCCACAGTCAAGATTTAAAGTAGTTGAAAATCTCGATTTTTCAAACTTTTCCGGCTGTTGCCATAGCAACCGAGACACATAGCAACGAAATTTTGTTTGATATTTGTTTCTGGTGTCAAGTACTAAGCATGGGTGAAGTTTCATCAAAATCGGTGACCGTGCGTGGAAACGAAGTTTAAGTGGTTACAGAGAATGGCTATTAATACCAATCATAATAAAACTTTTCTATTGATATAAATTATAAAATTGAGATTACCAGTTACAGTTTTTTGGTATTTTCTCAGGCAGTTATAGATATTTAAAACATTTTATATGCATGATGGCGTGGTTGGTCAAACAATTGTCATAAAATACAATGTCTCATTTTTGTAATACAGATCATATATTGCTGGTTCCAATATGTTTGATTCATTTAGGGACATGAAAGTTTTATAGATATACATGTATTTTTTTTTTTTATTTATCATGTTACTACATTTATATCCTGTCTCTTTCTTAACTTCTTTGGAGATTTTTCAAATTGTGTAACATTGCAAACCCTGGAAGAGAATTTATTCTGGCCATAATGTGTTACCATATTACTATAGGTAAAGGCTTAAAGGTTGTAGGTATCATAAGGTATCATTGTTTTAAATCTTCCATTCAATACCTTTTCGTCATTTGTACCAATATTTTTAGAATTATATAAACAAAATAATTGATTAATTTTAGTTCATTTAGATTTTGCAATAATTTCATGTTGACAGAGTGTTTCTTTTATAGGCATGTACATGAGCTGCATTACGCATATTATGGAAATTTTTTCCCTGCATTAAAAAAAAAGACATATACATATACGAAATTTTATTTTCATAGTTTAGACCTTAAAATTATTCAAAGGTAAATAATGCATGATATAATAAAAATTTGAATAATTTAGTAAAATTTTACCAGTAGTTGAAAAGATTTTTTCCTGGGAGATAGACATTAACAGTTGTGCTTCTGGCCAGAAGCTAGTAAAATCTCAGGGCAAGTATATCAATGTATTTGTTGAGTAAGTCAATATATCTGATGGAAACATATATTTCATCTAACAGTAGATCAAAAATAAAATAAATTGAACTTGATTTTTCTTGATGATGCTCATTCTGCTTCAGAAAAGTCAGTAAAGGAGGATGTATATTTTAGACATATGTTATATCCCTACTAGTTTTACTTGATGAAAACAAATGGTACATTTATACATAGTTTATCAATCATTAATTGTTATAGAAATAGTTAATTTGAGATGCTGATGTTGTGAGAAAATTAATGAATGTTTATTTCATGTGATATGCTTGAGATTCGACAATTAAGTGCAATTTTCATTTTTATCTGTCACATTTAATGATCTTATCATGTATGAATGAATAAACCATTCTAGTCACCTCTTACTAGATTTTCATTTTGTGTACTTTGTGTAATTATTTTATAACAAAACACAAATTTCTATAGTACATGAAATGTTTAAGCTGGAAAAATATGTATTTACTTATGAAACAATATTTCATTATACATGTATATTCAATTTGAACAGTCACTTTAGGTCTGGAACTTAAGAGTATCCAAGCCCAGTTAGTTTTAAACTGCTCCCAAGAGGAGTACCCTCAGTCTTTTCTTTGAAATCTGGAAAAGGATATGAATAATCAATATAGCCCTTACCTACCAGATCTCTCGACCCTGGGTCCACAATTTTGGGAAACTCAGAGTCATCCTTGTTCATCATAGCCATACATCGATTAGTACAAAGAGAGAGCAAGCAAATTTAAAGAATTGTGGTCCCCGCTTTTGGTGTCTTTGTGAGATGAGATATCATTATTTATCCCATGTTTACCCCTTTATCCCGTGGATATGACTCATTGGATAAATTTTTCATATCCCACACTTAAGTGCAGTTATGACGTCACAATGGTTTTTGCGTTAGCGTGATGAAGTTCCTTATAAGAGTTCCTTATAAAATCAGTACATAAAACATCAGTTGTGAAGTAATAAACATGGGATAAAAAGAATCTCCCATGATTTGTAATTGGATATGATTTTTATCCAACTCGTTGTGTGTTTTTATCCCCTCGCCAAGGCTCGGGGATAAAAATCACAACTCTCGTTGGATAAAAATCATATCCAACTACAAATCATGGGAGATCCTATATTTATGGCACTTTGTGTAAAATATGAATGCTTGTGGACAAACAGACTGACAGAGAGACAGACAGACAGACGGACACGACAAAAACTATATACCCCCGAAACTTCGTTTACGAGGGCATAAAAATGTACAAAAATTACAAAACAAATTCCAGAATTTTTTTTCATCAGAAATTGTTTGAGAAGTATAAATCCATATACAGACATTAAAAGTATTGCACAAAGGTCCCTCATTTAGTGTAACTCTTCAACTCCAGGGAAGAATCCAATAAAGTTCGAACTACGTTGCGTATGACCTTAAATGCAAATTTAATATATTGATACCAAAAGTAGGTATTTTTAGGTATTTTTGGTATCCAATGAAAGGTCTTGCCACAAAAATACATATGTTAAGTATAGAAGCCCTAGCCCTAACCGTTCAGAAGTTATCGCCAAGGTTAAAAATTTATAAAGTAGGTCAAACTCCAAGGTCAAAGGTCTTGCTATCAAATGAAAGGTCTTGTCACAAGAATTAAATATGTAAAGTATGAAAGCACTAGAACTTACCCTTTAAAGTTATGGGCAAGATTTGCTTTTTAAAAGTAAGACAAACTCAAAGGTCAGGGTCAAAGTTCTCGATATTCAATGAAAGGTCTTCTCACAAGGATTACACATGTGAAGTATGAAAGCCCTATCCCTTACCGTTCATAAGTTATGGCCAAGATTAAAGTTTTTTATCACAAGTACTGAAATCACCAAGGTCAAGGTTATTGGTGTCCAATGAAAGGTCTTCAAACAAAAAATAGATATGTAAAGTATAAATGTCCTGTTTTCTACTGCTCAAAAGATATGACCTAAGTAAAAGTTTGGTATTTTTGCGTAAAAGTGGGTAAAACTCCTGGGTCAAGGTCAAATTTGGTCGTACCCAAAGAAAGGTCTTGTCACAAGGAATAAATTAAACATGTGAAATATGAAAGTCATAGCTCCACTTAATCAAAAGTTAGGGGCAAGGTTAAAGTTTTTGCGGTCAAACAGCTAGACAGACAGACGGACGGACATGACAAAAACTATATACAACTGTACCCCCGAAACTTCGTCTACTAATAATCAACTTACCTAAAAATTTGATACGCAGAAAAAGTCTAGACTCGGAATTCACATTTCCTGGGAATAGGGGTAAAGAGGTTGTAGTGGATATGTTCTAATTTTTCGCATATCTAAATTTTATTCATACATTACTCCGGTTTCCTAAACTATGACAAAACAAGAGGCCATGGAAAACAACGCTCACCCTATCCCCGGGGATCATGACTTGGATAATTTAGAATCTACAATACATGTACCCCAGGATGCTTCCACATAAGTTTCAGGATTTCTGGCGCAGTGGTTGTAAAACAGAATTTTTAAAGATCACAACCCTATTTTTGTCTTTTTTAAAAAAAATTATCTCTCCTTGTAAGGGGGCTTGGTTCTTCGTTTTAGGATCCCACACTTTACCCAAGAATGCTTTGTTCGAAGTTTGCTTAAAATTGGCCCATTGGTTCTTGAGAAGAAAGTTAAAATGTGAAAAGTTTACCGACAGATGGACGGACAACGGATAATCAGAAAAACTCACTTAAGTTGAGCTTAAATAGAGGATAACCAGCTTTTCATTTAACATTTTTAATAGTAAAAAGTTTTATTTTCAAAAAATATGTTACATACCCGTTGGATTTCAATAAAAACAAAAGAAATGAATAGGTTATAGATAATGAAGAACTCCATCTGATGACAGAGAGTGAGATTAGAGGTGCCTAATAGTCTCAACTAAATTCTAATTTGTGTAAACTATTTTTAAATGCAAATATCTTTTCAAGCTTGTTTATAAATGGTATATACATGTAGTAGTATTATATGCTGTGATTGCTGTCCGTAGTCAACACTTCCAACCTCTGAATCAGTAGCTGTTTTCATCTTTCATTAACTTTATTTATCTGATGCATCAAATAATAGTTCCTATGCTTGTCAATTGTGATGATAAAATCCAATAGCACTGTCTCTTCAAGCATGTGAGGTGTTTTCCTCTTGGATTTCCTCCTGGACACCTTCACCTTCCAGGGTCACACACTCTCCTTCCTCGTCTCGATTGATTTTTATAAAGCCAGTTCCCTCTGTTACAAAATGTGAAAAAACGCAATATACATGTATTATTTTATATCTTCTTCTTTGTTAAACTAAAACGCACCCACCCTTATCGCACACCCTCTTTCACACTCACCCTCCCATACTCTAGTTTGATTAATTAACCACCGGTATATATTTGTTATAATATTACGTTTCTTACTCGGTTCCAAATCTTTTGATTCAATATACCCGCTGTCACCTTGCTCCGTGTTTTGTCCTATTTAAAGAAAACAAGAACCATAATATAAATTGCATTTTAAAAAGGTGTTAATAATTAATGCACTTCTGTTGATTCTGTCCTTGATAATTTATTAAGTTAACATTTAAAAAAAATGAATTACTTACTTCCCCTGGACCCATCTGGTCTCATTTCTACAGGAAATGATGTTTTCCCATCTATACAATAATGAAGACACGGGAATATATATATATATATATATATATATATATATATATATATATATATATATATATATATATATATATATATATATATATATATATATATATATATAAAATTCAAGATGTCCTTGGTATATATATATATATATAAAAATATATATATAGTATATATATATATATACATTTATATATATATATATATATTATATATATATATATATATATATATGGATTATATATATATATATATATATATATATATATATATATATTAAAATTCAAGATGTCCTTGGTATAGGTATGTACATATAGAAAAATAATCCAGAGTTTGGAAAAGATGATCACATTTTATACCATAGCGCTTTCGCCATTTGGCTCTTCAGTGGATTTTGAATAACAATAGCAACATGACATGATAACGTCGTTATTATGACGTCATAATAACGACGTTATCATGTCATGTTGCTATTGTTATTCAAAATCCACTGAAGAGCCGAATAAAAGCGCTTTGGAATAAAATGTGATCATCTTTTCCAAACTCTGGATTATTTTTCTATATATATATATATATATATATATATATAAATTACTTATATTTCCGACTGGATTTTTTAAAATTAACTGACGGTCAGACCAGAAGTCCATTCCTTTTTATGGACAGTAGAGTAAGTACATGTACCTTAATAATTACTTTTATTTATTTTTTTATCGATTCACAACAGCATCTATATACATGTATGTCTGATATCAAAAATTCAAATTTCTGATATCACAACATGATTTTTTGATATCAGGGAATACCTTAAAATATTATAACGGCGCCCCATACATTGTAGCAGCCAAGATATTTTGTCTAGATAGTTTGTAAGATCTTTGGAAATGATCACAGGCACTTGTGGACAGGACCCCGCCCCCCCCCCCATATATATATATATTATAATACCAGGGTATGACTTTTTTAGTAAATCGTTAAATCAAAGTTATTTTCTGGATTTTTCATATGGAATACGTTGTAAATAAGTACTAAAAAACATAATTCAGGACAAAAAGAAAAAAAAAATTTTGACCAGGGGTGTATATTGGGGGGGGGGGGGTCCTGTCCACAAGTACCTGTGGAAATGATGAATCGATTAGAGTATATGAATACAATCCAGTAATCAACCTATCATCCCTAAGAACCCCCCCCCCAAAAAAAAAAAATCAAACCAAAGAAAAGTCTGCTTAAAATATAGAATTACGTACATTGGCAGTCACAAATCTCTTCGTTGATGTCCACTTCCTTACTTAACAGATTACTCTGTATCTTGTTTATTTCTTCTTTAAGACCTTTGCATTCGTCGATGAGTCCATTTTTACATGTTTGACATGGTCGTATATCTTCACCCCTGTATTTACTATCGTCTACCTCGTCATTGTAAGCCCTCATTGCTTTCCTCGTCTCCGACATGCATTTGCGTACATTTCTCCCATCAAAGCTGACTTTGTGGAAACCATTGTTTTGGTATCCTAAAAAAAACAGTGATCGATGGCAAAGAATCGACAGAAATCCGTATGAAATCTTAATATTTAAAATGTCTGGCACGCATTTTTAATTTTTGGCTATAATTTGGCTCTTTTAAGAATTTGTAACTTTTAAAAATGAGTGTTTTTTTTGGCATTTCTCAATGAAATCTACAAGATCTTGACCTGTTCCAAAATATGATATAAGTTTTAAATTTCATTTCAAGGTATCGAGGTCGCCCGCGTGGCGCAGCGGTCAGAGTATCTGCTCTTGAGTCGCCAAGTATAAGGAGTCGATCCTTAAGTCGCGGGTTTGTATCCCACAGTGGGACGTTGCCTGTAGGTGCTAGTACAAACAACATGCGTTTGTGAAACACTGATGCCCCCGTTTGGCAACATAGTGAAGATTAAACTTTTCTTAAATGCAAATTTTATATATTGGTATCTAAAGTAGGGTCTCCTAACTGGAAGTACAACTGTGAAACATAAAAGCCCTATCACCATCTGTTCCCAATTATGACCAGACAAAACTTTTTTCCTAAGTACAGAAATCTTCAAGATTACGGTCAGAAGGTCAATATTATTGGTAATTGAAATGTATTTCCACAAAGAACACATGTGTGAAGAATGTAAGCCCTAACAATTCAAAAGTTATAACCAAGGTTAAAAGATTTTAAAAGTAGGTTAAACTCCAAGATCATGATCAGAGGGTCAAGGTTAATGGTATTGAATGAAAGGTCTTGTCACAAGAATTACATATGTGAAGTTTGAAAGCCCTAGCCCTTATTCGTGAAAAGTTTTTGCCAAGGTCGATATTTTTCATAAGTCCGGAAATCTGTAATATCAAGGTCAAAAGGTCAAAGTTTTTGGTATCCAATAAAAGGACTTGCCACAATGAATACATTTATGAAGTATGAAAGCCCTAGCCCTAACTGTTAAAAAGTTATTGCCAAGGTTAATGTTTTTTTTTCATAAGTCTGGAAATCTCCAAGGTCAAGGTCAGAAGGTGAATGTTATTGGTATCCAATGAAAGGTCTTTCCACAAAGAACACATATGTGAAGTATGGAAGCTCTATCCCTAACAATTTAAAAGTTATGGCCAAGGATTTAAAAATTTATAAAAAGTAGGTCAAACTCTTAGGTCAAGATCAAAGGGTCAATTAAAGGTCTTGATATCAAATGAAAGGTCTTGTCACAAAAATTATATATGTAAAGTATGAAAGCACTAGCTCTAGCCCTTTAAAAGATATGGTCAAGGATTGTTTTTTAAAAGTAGGTCAAACTCCAAGGTGAAGGTCAAAGCTCTTAGTATCCAGTGAAGCATCTTCTTACAAGGATTACATATGTAAAGTATGAAAGCTCTAGCCCTTTAAAAGATATGGTCAAGGTTTTTTTTTAAAGGTAGGTCAAACTCCAAGGTCAAAGCTCTTAGTATTCAATGAAGCATCTTCTTACAAGGATTACATATGTAAAGTATGAAAGCTCTATCCGTTACCGTTCAAAAGTTAGTGCCAAGA